ATGAAGGTATGAAAGAAAGAAAGAAAAAAGAGAAGAGAGGAAAGGAGAAAGAGAGATTGTGCAGCTGGAAGAGAAAGTTATTATGGATCCCTCCTTCACAATGGTATTCTAGTACTGACTCAATTATCAAAGTACAAAATGGCTTCCACCATGATACGTATAAAAAAACTAACACACTTTTCTAACAAAGCACATTTTGGAAAGAACAGAAGAAATTTTTGTTAAAACTATGAACAGGAATGAGGGAGAAGGGAAGAAGAGCTCAAAGTACTCAATCTTGATTCCCTTTCATTATATTGGGTTGGGGGAGGGAGGGGGGGAACTTTGTATCAGAAGAGCAAGAATGATGGGTATCACGTCACTATCACCTAAGGGTCATGGTTGGCACAAGAAATTTAGAGATGAACTTGTGTCAGGAGAGGAAAAGCTACAAGTTGAAGGTGGTGCCTTTTCAGAATCTAGAGTGCTTCAATTTTATGAGGAATATTGCATTGGTGCTTGCATTGCTTTGTTGAAATATATGGAGGGTTGGACAATGATTTATTTTGTCACTACCATATAATCTCTCATCGCAATTTATACTTTCAAATCGTTTTAGATCATAATATAAAGATAGAGAAAACTTCTTGCTTCTTTAGGTTTTTTTTTTTTTTGTGTGTGTGTGGTGGTGGTTGGGGGGGGGGGGGGGGGGTGTTTGGGGTCTTGCTGTTTCTATGAGTTTTTGATAATTTTCAGCTTGACCAGAAGGCTTGTGCTGACTCTTACCACTTAACTTGGATTATTTTGAACTTCATCTCTGATTCCATGCAAAATTGAATTGATTGCAAAATTTAAAGCATTTTGTGCAATCTCAAGCAATGATATTTGTTGGAGAATTCTCTGAAGTGTTAGATTTTTTGCTGAAGTAGAAAAGTCATCATGGTGAGGACTTGGAGACAAGTTTGTTTATTGTTTATTTTGAAGTTTTGAGGTTTGTATTTTGCCTTCAGTTTACAATGCAGTACCTAATGGTACAGATCACTATTAGAACCCTTTGGACTCATTTATAGCATGCATCATTCATGGTATACTTTCGTCTATTACTTAATGCTACTGAGTTCCATAATTTTTCTTTCCTCTTTTTCTAGGATTATGAGTTATATTTTTATCCAATTCTCTATGCAGGTGAATGGGAAATTTACAAGTGATCAAAGCCTTGTATATAATGTAAGTGTGTTTCTTCTAATATTGTAGATTGATTTAATTATTTTGGTTTAGGATTTCTTTAACCTGTAAGAACTCTTTAGTTTCTATGCAAATATACTTTCGACAAATTGCCTCTTTGTGTATGTGTGTGCTGTCGGTACATACACGTGCATGCTAGTTGGGGCCTAAGGTCCCATTCCCAGACCATTATTTTTATCACTTCATTTTGCAGGCTGTCCTTGATGCTCAAAATGCTGTTATATCTGCTATGAGACCCGGAGTAAGCTGGGTGGATATGCACAAGTAAGACTGGATTACGAAAAAGTTCCATTGAATTTCAGATTTTCATATATATTCCTTAATGCTTTTGAAAACTAGTTATTTGATAGGAGTCTTCCCATAGATTGACAGGCCATAATTGTTCAGTTGAGTTGAAGGCCTGTGATAAACTAGACGGTATGACCGTGTGGAGAATGATAATTTTTATAGGAAAAGGTAAAAAGAGTTTTAAGAAAAGGCCAAAAGATAATTTTTATGTTTCTTTCAATAAGCAAATGCGAAAGATACAAAAGTAGGAAGGAAATAGTGTCCTCCATGGATAACTACAAGGATGAAGAACAAAATTCAAAGCCATATGGCTGATGTGGATTCAACAATACAGAACAAAACTAAAAATGCACGTGGCATATGAAAAATAAAATAGAACTATATCAACTCTACTTTTAGTTTGACTTAATATCCATAAAAAATAACTTTTGGTTGACAAAATAGCTCAATGGTGATTCAGGAAGGTAGTTTGGGACCTTGAGAGAGATGTTTTGCAAGTTTCAACATGAGTACATAGCATGTGGAATGCATGGTGTTCATAATTGCAAGTATTTATATAGTGAAAGTGATGTGACAGTTGACACACCAGGAAGATTTTGTGTTTTAATAGAAATACTAAAGCATTTCGCCAGATCCAAAAATAGTTTACTAATACCCTTAACTGCTTTGTTAAGACAACATAATTTTTATTATCAGATATGCATGTTTTCCTAATGCGTGTCTTTCTTTTCCTTTTAGATTGGCGGAGAAAACTATTCTAGAGTCATTGAAGAAAGGGTGCCTCTTGGTTGGGTATCTTCTATTTTCTCAGAGCTATACTTCTTTACATGCAACTTGTCTCTGAGATATGAAAGAACTAATTCCATACTTATATATTTATTGGCTTGTTTATTATATCAGCGATGTTGATGATATGATGGTTGAACGAATGGGTTCTATTTTCATGCCGCATGGCCTTGGACACTTATTGGGAATCGATACTCATGATCCTGGGGTTACTTGAAGGTTTTCATGACTAAATTTTCTATGCATTTTTCCATTTACTTTTGATATGAACGTGCAGTCAGAAATGTTAACTGTTGCAAGTTATTAATCGAATTAATAACTGACCTGATATGCAGGGAGCTGAGAGACCCACAGAGCCTGGATTAAGGTCTTTGCGCACAAGTAGAGAGCTCCTGGAGGGAATGGTCTGTAATCGTTTTTTTTACTACTAAAGGAATGCGCTCTTCTTCATATGACCGGTTATGTTTTGTTATATAGAACCATATGCCCTATTCTTTGATGCTGCTGTTGTCACTATTCGAAGTTTATTTACATAGCATGTGTAGGTTCTCATGGAGAACCAGAGGTAAAAATTGGAAGATTCATGGCTCCTGTTAAATATTTTACTCTTTTAGAGTCAAGTTGTTCTAATCTTTCTTTCTAGAATACATTGGGAACATGACTAGGCTGTATAGAGACCAAAGTGGCCATGGTCCCGCCTGACTTCCTGATATTATTTTTTGGCTACTTTAGTTTAGGAAATAATTATTCAAACCTTTGACTTGCCCACCTAAACTATTAGTCCCATGAAGTTTATGTTGCATCATTTCCGCTTTTGTAAATTCCACGTCCAAATCCTGGCTTTGCCCCTAACTGGGGGATTATATTTTTGACTAAGCTTGAATCCAGTTCACTGTCTGTAATTTATATTATGCATATTTGATATGGCTTGCGGATATATCAGACCTATAATTATTAATTTCTCTTTTATCCTTACAGGCATTTTTCATTTAGTCTTAAACATGTCTGGTCCTAAACTCATCGATTCAAACAGAATCTCAACTGTAGGTTATTATTAGTTTTGTATGTGGATTGAAGCAAACAGGGAAATAATTTTATGTTGGTGAACATGGGACTAGAATGTGCTGCATATGAGAGACCACACCTCCTACTTTCCTACTAGAACACACTTGTGTGCAAACTATGGAAATACTAGAACTCTTATGTGCAAATCTGTCATTTCATACTTATTTAATCGATTTTTTTCTTTCTAAAATGTCTTTGGGTACTAAATGCGCATGGTTTTGTCTCTCTGGCATCATCCTCTAGTTTTTGACATTGGATGAGAAAGAACAATAACCTATGCTTATGGGATCCTGTCTGTGCATTCAGAGGTAAAATCTAAGTGAACACAGCAAACTAGTTTTGCCACGTTATCTGGGTCAAATTTAATATAATTATTTTTCTTAAATTTCTGCATGAAGATATTCTTTATGACAATGTATCAAAACTGTAGCCATTTGATTTTTCTCTTACTAACCCTACTCTGAAAAAATACAAAAGTATGATGACATCGGGGCTTGTACTGCAGGTTATAACTGTGGAGCCTGGATGCTACTTCATTGATGCTTTGTTGGTCCCGGCAATGGAAAGTTCAAAAACTTCAAAGTTTTTTGATCGTGAAGAGATTATCAGATTTAGAGGCTTCGGTGGAGTCCGAATTGAAAGTGATGTGGTACTGCAGTTGCTGAACTTTATTTATCACATCTAAACCTTGATAATTTTTGCTTTCCTTGAACTTCAATATTTGCAAAAGTTTATGTTCATCACCAATCTCACAGCAGAAAAGGCATTATATAACTAAATCTTATCATGTCTTGATGAAACTATGAAATGCTTATATCTTATCATTTCCTCTTTTATTATTTGTCTTGTGAATTAAATTGTTTATTGGTTGAAGGCATTTTGATTGCATAAGGTGTTAATATGTTTTGATTCTGCATATATTCTATGAAATGTGAATACTTTGTTAAGGTCGATGGATCCATTAAGAATACCTTATTGGATACAATACTTACTAGATAGTATCGTATACACACGTATCCAATAATTATAAGTATTTGGATACTTCACCGGTATGTATTCAAAATACATATGCAAATCAACATGTAATTTTTATTGTTAATCTTTGTTTTTCCTCTCGAGTTCACATGTAATGCAACACAAAGAAAAATCTATACGACGTTGAAGACACGTGTATTTTATAAGTATTATCTACTATTATTGGTCAAAAGAGCATAAAATAAGTTACTTACACCATATATCTTGGCAATAAGATTTTCTAATTAAACTAACTAATTAAAACTTTGTGTAAGTTCTTTAATTAGTCACGTTCACTTTTTGAATATATACCATTATGAGATGATCAATGCTTTCTTAAAAGTAAAAATTATTGAATTTCCACATTATTGTTAGAGAATTTATTATAAATTATAATCATCAAGTTGTTTAGCAAAAAAAATTAAATTTTTTTTATTATAGATGTATCCTAGGCATATACGTATCCTAATTTTTTAGGTTTTTCTGTATCACTGTATTCGTATTGTATTATAATTGCATCCCGTGTCCATATCCATGCTTTCTAGGATCTATTCAACCTCCCTCTGGGTCAATTTAGGGTTTCTAAATAGTGATCCACAACTTTTAAATGACTTCTCATGGAGATGTTTATGCATTTTTCATGCAAAAACCTTTGTAAATGTTGGAGATATAGCAGCAGTCTAGTTTATTAGAGTTTATTAAGTTTTCTCTTTTTACCTTTTTATCCTTATTGTAACTTTCATTGGCTCTATATACGGGGCTCTACACTTAGTTTGTATCCCTTTTTCTCTCTTCCAAATATTTCAAGTTGGTATCAGAGCCACCAACCCTTACCCTAAACCTAACCTTCGCCAATCATCACAACCAACAAAACAAGCCAGTCGCTGCTCACCCAACTCCGACAGCAATCCAGTGATAAACCAGTCCACCCCATACCAGTCCCCCAATAAACTCCACAGCCACCGCCAGACCCATAACACCGACCGACATATACCACTGCCAACGACATATACCACCCAAAAATACCAGTCCAACCAGCGACATATAACAGCAAAACCCACCGACCGACATACTTAGTAATATACTCTGACCATCAAACCAAGCAAGCACCGACAGTTTGCCAAACCAAAACCAGTCAAGCAGCAAAACCCACCGACCGACATACTTAGTGATATACTCTGAACATCAAACCAAGTAAGCACCGACAGTCTACCAAACCAAAACCAGTCCACTGCTAACCTTTATACACCAAACCAACGACAACCAAACAAACTCTACCGACTGCCCACATACCACCTGCAATCTAAAACCCAGACCAGCCCACTGCCCCAACAGAAAACCCAAACCAGTCCTAGACCATATAAACTCCACCAACTGTCCAGGCCACCCAGCCCATACCTAGCAAAACCACCCAGTCCAGACCACCTACCAAGAAACCCGACAGGACTGGAAGAAAATAAGGAATATGCTCAAGGAAGGTAATATCTAAACTGTGATACATACGGCGCCTAACAGGATCATAACACCGATACCCTTTAGACTGATGACAATAATCCACAAAGACACAACGAATCGTTTTATCATCAAGCTTATGCTAAGTAGGAGACCGATCCTGAACAAAACATGTGCAGCCAAAAACACGAGGGGGGAGCGGAAAAAGTATCCGCTCAGGAAATAAGACCTGTAAGGGAGCCCTATGTTGAAGACCACGACTCGTTGTACGATTGCACAAAAAGGTAGAAGTTAAAATAGCAAAATATCAATAAGATTTTGGTACCCCCATACCTCTAAGCATACAACATACCATCCCTATCAGACTCCTATTTTTCCTTTCAGCAACTCCATTTTGTTCAGGAATATATGGACAAGTGAGCTGCTGAAGGATATCCTGAAAAGAAAGGTGAGTCACTAAGGCATCAGACACATATTCTTTGGCATTATTCGAACGAAGAGCACAAACAATGACATCGAACTGTGTTTTAATCATCTGAAGAAATGGAGTAATGACAGAGAGTACATCAGATTTCCTATGCAAAAGGTAAACCCAAGTACAACGGGTATGGTCATCTATAATGTCATATAGTATCGGGTACCTGACAGAGCAGTAACAGGAGAGGGTCCCCAAATATCCGAGTGTATTAGGTCAAATGGTTTGGGTGATTGGTGTATGCGAGGAATATAACTGGTCCGAACATGTTTGGATAGGGAACATATAACACAGTCAAGTTTACCACTAACACAAGCTTTGCTCAAAGTAGGAAATAACATACATAAATATTTAAAATTTGTATGTCTAAAACAGTCATGCCACAACTGAACATTTTGTGATGAAAAATCATAACAATAAGTATTAGGTAAAATACTAGCATGTAAGCTAAGAATAGATAAAGACAAAACAGGTGATGGAGGTGGAGAAACTGGTGAAACGGAAGGTGGATTGTATGGTGGATTGCCTAAATAATACAATCCATCTTTCTCATGTCTCCTGATAATAATCCTCCTGGTACTCAGGTCCTGCAAATAACACGAATCAGATAAGAACACAACTGCACAGTGAAAATCTCTGGCTAACTGATGTACAGATAATAGATTCATGGTCAGCTTTGGCGCATGGAACACCGAACGTAATGTAAAGCTATCTGGGAGGCGGACTGTACCCCTACTAACAATAGGGGCATGTGTACCATCTGCTAACTGAACGTGAGTATGTAATTGCTCGTCAAAAGATGTGAAATGATGGGCCTCACCTGTCATATGACCATTAGCACCCGAGTCCAGCATCCAAAGAGGAGACGAACTGGCACAAGTATGAAAGACATGAGGTATACCTGTAGTAATGGCAGCAGTAGTAGTCGAACCTTGAGAAGTCAAGGCTGACATAAGTATATTCAAGCGAGAAGTGATAGCATCCATATCACTCTGCCAAGGAGGAGGAGTAGCAGGAGCAATGACTGTAGGTAGTGGTGCCTTAGCAATGGCAGCAGTACGGTTGCGATGAGGCGGTTTAAGCTCCGGATGGAGCTTCCAACAAGTAGCCTTGAGATGTCCTAGTCGGCTACAATAATCACACTGACGAGAATTCCCATATCTACGCTGATGTGGGGTACCCTGACGGCGTTGGGCCGAGCGCTATCGACCCCTATACCCAGTGAAAGTACTAACAAATGTCTCAACTGTAGGGATCTCAACTCCCTCAGTAGTAGTCATATCATCAATAATACTAGGACACTCATGATAGAAAAATAACTCTAAGATAAATAGATGGACAAAATAAGGGAGAACAATATACCTCTAGTCGAACAGTAGCGACAGATAAAGAAGGTCCAGAAAGCTCCCAAATAATCAAGTCACGATGCTCAGAAGTCTAATAAATATAAATAAGTGATCTACTGTATCAAGAGCATATCAATTGAGAAGAGGATTCAACCCCTCTTAAAAGGTCCTACGGTCCCAAATAATCAGGCACACAAAGGCAAAACACGAAACTATGACGAAGAGCGCGACCCAGCTAGTTCGCTGGGGTGAGTACTGTGTTGGGTTTGGGCTGGACTGGACAGTGGGCTGTTTGGTTTGTTTTGCTGGGTGTAGAGTTTAATGTTTGCTCGGTGTATAGGAGTACGTGTTTTTTGGCTGGGTAGGCAGTTGGTCTTGGTGGGTATTGTCTTGGGCAGTCGGCTGGTCTGGAGTGCGTATTGTCTGTCGGTGGGGCTGCTTAGTTGTCAGGGGTATTTGTTTATGGGTCTGGGCAGTGGGTTTGTGAAGTCGGTGGAACTGGGATGAAGCAGTCCTCTATATGTTTCGGTTGTTCGGTGGCTATGTTCCGTGGGTTTGTGGGCAGTTGTTCGCTGGTAGGCCAATGGAGTGGACAGCAACCCGACGTTGTGCTGTTGGTGGAGTAGCTAGAGGCAATCGGTGTTGGCTGTTGGTGGTTGTGTTGCTGGTAGGCAGTTGGTGGCTTCTAGGACTGTGAGGCAGTGGCTCTGTTGCAGGCTGTCGCTGGTATGTGGGTTTGATGTTTGTTGTGTTTGTTGTCGGTGGTTTGGGCAGTCGGCGGCAGTGTGGCCGCCGGTGGCTGCAACGTGGAGGAGGGGCTAGGGTAGGGTTAGGGTTAGGTTTGTGATTCTGATACCAACTTGGAATTAATGTGAGTAAAAAGGATGCAAACTAAGTGTAGAGCCCCGTATATATAGCCAATAAAAGTTACAATAAGGATAAAAAGGTAAAACGGTAAAAAAGGGAAAACTTAATAAATCCTAATAAACTAAACTGCTATATCTCCAACATATAATAAGATAATTTCTCAGTTGAAAACTATTTGGCTCCATACAGTCTGTCTCGTCTTATGTCTATCTTGTGAATGAGTTTTTATCCTCATATTAGGACACTCATTATGTTTGAATGGATGTTTACTCATGAGCCTTGGAATTGCTGGGAATAAACTTTAACATTACCATCTTGTGGTGAACTGTATGAGAGAAGAATCAGCGGTTTTAGTTCATATACATCTTTTTTCCCCTTTCTTCCTCAATGACTTGCTTATCGTTTATCTTATCATATTCTTATCTTCTCTTATGGAGATGAATCTGTAGTGTCACACATTTTTCCTGAGGAGGCATTTGAAGATCATCAGGGTTAGATTGTATTAGTCAGCCTTTTTGTTATCTAAATGATCTTATGTTGCACTTTTGAATATTTGCTTATTCATCAACTCTTTTCCTATATTGGCTGCATTAACTGAATCTTCATAGATATGGTGTGTATGTAGGTTGGCCATATTACTTTTCATGTGCATTTTTTTTTCCGTCTTTTGTTGGAGGTTCCAGCTTAGGCTTCAATCCTTTTTCCTGCCATACTTTTCTGTATCCTTATATTCTGCGCTTTTTGAATGTTTCCAGTATGTTAGTTGCAATGGCTGTGTGAACATGACAAAGGTACCACGAGAGATAAGGGATATCGAGTCTGTAATGGCAGGAGCACCGTGGCCAATCCAGAAGATCTCTGCTCCCCCAGAAAA